ATGTCTGTACCTGGTACATCCTCAAGGCTGTACTGAGTCCGGCACCATTAGGACCCGAACCCTCGACCTTACGATCCGCAGGAGAGCGTCTAGCCGCTTCGCTAAGGTGGCTTTCCAGATTGTGCATACCAGGTGATTTATTTTTACTATTTCATGCTGAATCCGTCAGTCAAATGAAAATATGTTTTGATGTTACTCCAGCTAAAGACCTTCGGCCAAAGAGGCATGCGAGACGGACTGGTTATTATTTATATGTAGTGGGTAAAGATAAACTAAAATTCTGAATGGCGGAGGACAATAGAAAGCACACACACTCACCTTTGTCTTCTTCTGTTTCTTCCTTTTCTTCTTCTTCTTCTTCTTCTTCTTCTTCTTCTTCTTCTTCTTCTTCTTCTTCTTCTTCTTCTTCTTCTTCTTCTTCTTCTTCTTCTTCTTCTTCTTCTTCTTCTTCTTCTTTTTCTTCTTCTTCTTCTTCTTCTTCTTCTTCTTCTTCTTCTTCTTCTTCTTCTTCTTTTCTTCTTCTTCTTCTTCTTCTTCTTCTTCTTCTTCTTCTTCTTCTTCTTCTTCTTCTTCTTCTTCTTCTTCTTCTTCTTCTTCTTCTTCTTCTTCTTCCTCTTCTTCTTCTTCTTCTTCTTCTTTTCTTCTTCTTCTTCTTATTATTATTATTTTTCTTCTTCGTTTTCTTCTTCTTCTTCTTCTTCTTCTTTTTCTGTATAATCTTTTATCACCGAGGCTCAACACTCATGGGAAGTGTGAGACGCATATAGAACCAGTTAGTGGTGCTATCAGAATTTGAACTCTTCGCTTCCTGCTGAAGATGGGGACGGGGCACTCATGGGGTGTCCCGAGTGCTGTAATGTTCATTCCTAATTCAACATTTAACATTCTGCATCATCTTCTTTCCCTTTACAGCCCTCCTCTTCCACATCCCCATGCTCATTCCATTGTCTTGCATGATGTCCTCTTCTTCCTTCTCTTCATCATAAGCGTCTTTTATCTTTCTTCTTGTACTTCCTTATGTTCCTCCTTCTCCACTGCCACCTCTTCCTCCTTGACCCTATCCTCTTTTTCTTCTGATCCATGTCTTGTGATAAGCATGATGTTGATAAATAGGAGGAGAGAGGTTCGATTCTGGCATAATGGTTTTTTCTTTTTTATTATCGAACAGAATATATCAACTATTTTAATCGCCGGAGATCAACTGAAGTCTACAGTCATTGCTGTAGATGTTAATTTCATTTATAAATGTTGCAGATTGGTACATTTTGCACAAACGGAAGTTTCAGACGTTTTCATCGTCATCACATCCACCAACAAATCCACAGTTGACGGCACTGCCGGAGTTAGACAAAAGTGGTATCATTTCGTAGCGCATTTTGTCGGATATCTCACAGGTTTTGCCCGCTCGTGACTGAACCAGACCTCCAGTCTTCTGTTTCACCAGGGGTAGTGTTTCTGTTTCTATATGGCACAGTGATTCAGTATGAATGGAGTCAATGAATGGTAATGCTTCCGTACTGTGCACAGACGAGCCAACGTGGTCATCACCTTCCATCCCTGCGCTACAGAAGGGATTCAGCTTTTCAAACATCGGAGACACTTTATTGCCGGACATACCTGCAGCAGGCAACCCGCCAGAAAGTCCGTTTAAAGCCCAAATATTTTTGTTGCATTCGTTAAATGTTTCTGGCCTTGAAGATGTTGCCAGACGTGCTGTTTCGTCACATTCAGCGAAAGTATCATTAAGAATCTGGTCTTTGCAATGTAGATCAACCGTGTTGATAATTACTAATGGACTGCTAGAATACTGCCCATTGGGAGTTTGGGCGAGTCCTGGATTGTCATCCTTCAATGAGGAGAAGTGGATTAACACTTGACCGTTGCCACCCTTGTTGCCTTCAGAGGTGATAGACACCCTGTCTGTAATTCCATTGGGATGATATGAGTTATCGAATTCCAATGATTCCACTCTGACAATTGGTGCGTGTGCACGACTTGTGAAAACAAGAGACTGCGTTGAGGATGTACTGCAGGTATCCGTAGAAACGGTGGTATCAGGTAGCGGGAAACTGGCTTGGCAATCCTTACTAGACTGTTCCTGAGATGAGATGTCTTCATTATCTCTATCTGATATGATGCTGGCAGTTGGGCTAATAGACCGTTCGCTTTTATTTTTACTGCTCTCACCATCGCTAGCTGACTCGCGATCTATCTTTGATCGGATAATTGTTGGAACAGATTCGGAGGTGAACTCTAAAGCTTCCAGATCAGCTTCATCGCCGCTCAACGAATTCTCTTTTTCTGCCTCTTCAGTGCCAACAGCAAATTTCAAGCGCCGTCTGCGAGAAGAAGATCGTCGAATGAGATCTTGACTTGTAGGTCCCACAAGAAGCGAGTAGGGATGAAGATAGTTGGCCTGCCGAACGTTTGCAGGAGAATCCATCGAGTAACCATAGCTGCCTGTATTTAGACTCTGCGAGTGTACTTGATGTTGCATCTG